AGTACCAGGCACGCGCGGGAAAAAACAATCCCACTTTCGGGATAAGGGCAAGCAAGGCAGGCGAAGAGAAAACGGTACACGCTGCTGCCGACAGTCAAGAAAGGGTACACGCTCCTGTCGACACCCAAAAACGGGTGCAATCCGCCGCCGAAACCCAAAAAAGGTTACAAGCTCCTGCCGACTCCTCAATACAGGTACAACCCTGCTTTTCGTCTCAACAATGGGCTACAATACGCCGCCAGAACCCCCCTCGAGCCCATATGACACGGCCATATGGCAAAGCTATATGTATATCAAGCCGATGTACCTGTTCAATGATACGGTCTGCACGCTCCCGTTTCTCAGCAGCGCGCGGGATAGGTAGCCTAGCCCTTCCTCGTCGATGGGGTTGCCGTCCAAACACACGCGACGCAACCAGTCGTGCAAGCAGATGACTCCCGCCAGCAGGCAGACGTCCGCCGTGGAAGGTAGCTGTGCACCATGGAATGTACCATGGTAAGCAAGACAATAAAAAGAAGTGGGCATCGTTCGTGGAAGGAAAAACCCAGACACAAGACTTCGTTAGTCCAATCTCATGGTCTGTGTGTGTTCACGGCATGAAGCTCTAGAAGGTGGCGGAGAAAAAAATGTGAGCGTTAGCCTTACGTATTTCGAGGAAGAACAAACGTCGCCTACAGAACGAAGTCTTACTTTAGGGATAGGGTGCTTCCCTAAGCCAAAGTGTGCAACACGACGACGAGCGTTGGTCGAAGCATGACGCACATGCACTAGGTGCTTCCTAAGTACAGGACGAGGGTGTATAGTGTGCGTATTCTCGGAGGCCGAGAAGACTATTATATAGGCTACAGTACAAACAATACACGTATGTACCCACGCTGCACCACACAGTATAGCTCTTTCCGTGCACTTAGGGTTGCAGCAGCAGCGTCTTCGGAGTCTTCAAGGCCGCCAGCAGTCCACCTAAGCGACACCGACAACAAAACAAGCAGCGTACGCCAGGAGTCGCGCATGCCCCCACGATCAACACTCCCCTCACTAACACACTCTCCGCGCCGTCAGCCAGACGCCACAGACACCTGTTACCTTGCCTCACCTGGCACCGCACCGTGCCCTTGGGCCTGAAGAGCGTGAGATCCTTCTGGCCCTTCGAGACGGTCCACAGGTCCACCGATAACGCCTGGAGTCGCGACTCCTGCCCCGACAGCAGAGCCAAACCTAAAAAAAACAGAAAAGCACGACGTGTGCAATGTAGCACACAGCGGCAGAGCCAAACCTAAAAGATCAAAAGCACGACGTGTGCAATATAGCTCACAGCGACAGACTCGACCTCAACTCCTAAAGGTGCAATTCCCGTGGTTTGCATAATATACCACACCCATGACCGATTCGAAAACTTCGATTACTGCACGACAACCAGGATGCCAACATCACGCACACGATGATGCTTCTTCGACTTCGAAAAGTTCTCGACGAGCCGGTTCCAATGATGTACGAGTATCATTTTTGGCGTCGTCCCTAAGCTTTGAAAACCAGTCCAGGGGTGCGTGCGTGTGGCATCTTGTAAACACCTACGGTATTGCCGTAGTTTGCCGCGGAGACCGCCTCTTTCTTGCGGACGCTCGTTTAGTCTTCTCTATCGTCCTACTGCTGTCTGGCAATGGTTGGTATCCTCAGCCAGTACACCCAAAATGGGAGAACCAAGACGAGTTGACACACTACCGTCACCGTCCCTATAATATGCCCGTGCAGACAGCAAACACCAGTGTTATGCATTTTGCAACAGAGCAAGAAGCCAGATACACACGTGTCAGCATCCCAACGGACGCAAAAGTACACTTCGGCAAGTGACACAAGCACTATATACCGTGCGGAAACACTCGCTGCCGGTGCACCCTCTGTTCGTATCACGCATTCCATTCTTGAACCAACGTTTACGTTTCGATCCCCCGTATCAGAGCAAGGTGGAGCAGGAAACACTCGAGGCTTCTGCGACCGCGTCCACCGTTGATGAAGCCGAGGTTTCAGCGAACACGTTCACCGGTAGGTGTGGTTGCGCAAGCCTCGACTTCCATCAACGGTGGACGCGGTCGCAGAAACGTCGACGGTGGGCGGTGGTCGCCGAAGCCTCGACGTGCATACCCTTCATCTTTGTCTCTTACTCAAGCAACATAAAACGCTGAAACTCAAGCAACAAAAAACGCAAGCGAGAAATACAAGTCCAGCAGTATGCAGGACGATAAAACAAAAGCAGTCGGCGTGTGCGAGGTCGAGAACAAACACCGCGTCGGCCAGAGTGCAATCTCCTAATCTCCTGGACCAGACCAGAACAACTTCACAACCGAAAAGCAAGCGTTGGCTGGTCTAAGAAAACCCGGCCACGCCTCCATTACCCTTACCTAGCGCCGTCTTCCCCACGCCGCTCCCCGCCCCCGCCCCAACCACGCTCCCAGGATCGTTCAAGTTCCTGGCCATCCCCAACCACTCCAGACCCTTAGCGGCCCCCACCCCTTCCGCTAGGCTCACGAGGCCCTCATCGCCGAGGTTGCACATGGTCACGTCAAGACGGCGGAGGTTGGCGGAACGGACGAAGTCCAGGAGGAAGAGCGCGATGGCCTTGCCGCCCTTCTCGCCAACGGCCGGGTTGTTGGATAGGTCTAGCTCGACGATGGAGGATGGGAGGGCGGCAGCCAGGATAGTCATGCCCTGGGCCGGGATGTCGGGGGGAGGGGGGAAAGTTGTCGTTGAGAGTTGATGTTGTCCTTGTCTTCGCATGAAAAATCGTTCCGCTCTCTGCTCAGAACCTTGTAATATCGTACCTGTCCAAAACGACTTATACAAATCAAATGGAAAAAAAAAAAGTACAACAGCAGACAATACCATATGGGTATAACGCAGGTTTAACAGGCGAAAAGTAGCATACGCTCTAGACAGAAAACATGACCACGCGCTTGGTACGTGGAATGTCTGCATTCGATGACCTCGACTCCTCCCTTGCTACCTAAAAACACAAGGTGCCCTACACACTAAATCTAGCTCCATGATGTACAAAGGATACACTGCGTATGACGAGACAATACACATGTTTCTCACGACTGCCAACTTGACAACATCCACCCCCCCCCCGTATAACCAATCATACACAAACCGCGTCACCCCGAAGATGCTGCTCTTGGGGCTACGCGGAATCAGAAACTGGCTGCCGCACATCGGAACCCTTGCTACTACTACTTGCCCCAACATCCCTTTGGCAGTGTGCAGCAACCACACTGCTGTACCTAGATACCTTATCTCCGATGCCGTTTCCCTGCAGGATGAGGTTGGTCAAGACCCGGTTCTCCTCGAGGCCGGTCGCGATCACCTCTATGGCGCTGTCGTCGATGAAGTTGTGTCCAATGTCCAGCACCACCAGGCGGGGCGGGCCCGCCTGGTTTTGAGAGATGTGCGGCGAAACGAGAGTTGAACACACCAGCAAAAAATAGCCCAGTCTACGTGGCACCTCTCGCAAACAAAGGTTGTCTACAACAGAAAAGGCGCCAGCTGCCAATTACGCAACTACACTACCTTTAATTGGACAAAGCCTCGAAACTAAACTCGTGTCTGCGTCTCGTGAGAATGCCCCTTCCAATGCGACCACAATGCTACTACTGCCCCCCCCCCCCTTTCTCTATGCCCTACCATTCCCCTCCCTTCCCTTACATTGCTGTCCCAGTATACCTTGAGAGTTAACGCTAGCGAGCGCAGCCCTGCCAGGCTCCTGCGACCCCGCCCGCCGGAGGTTACGCCGCACAGTCCCGCTCGAGACAGGCGAAGCCGCGCAAGACGAGGGTTTCTAGCAGCGAGGCGGCACACGATCGGGTAGTCCAGTGTCGCCGACAGGGCTTGGCCGCTAAGGTCGATCGTCTGATATTTTTTCGGGAAAGTTTCATGCGGTGATGCGATTGAGTCGCAGTGAAAACAAAGACAGCGACTGAGCTGGAGGTACGACGACAAGCCGAGCGAGCGGCATAGGTTGTGGTGGCGTGAGCCGAAAAACGCGCGTGATAGATCAAAGCGGTCTGCGGAGAGAGTAGGTGCTTCCATGTGTTCGCCCAAAAAGACACTAAGTATACTGCTGTAGGAGGTGAGAGACAACGGCGGCACGGGTGCTCTTGTACCCAGAAATGTCTGTGTGCCGCAGTGCTGAGTACTTACCCAACCAACACGGTGTCTCACATGTAGTAAGCGACGCAATATCTTGCACATGAGCAGCCAACCATGCTTGCTTGCGTGTGTACGCAAAGGATTGGCGAGGTTTACTGCTCGCCAAATCCGAACTATCCACGAGGATACTTGTATCAAGACTACCCAACGCGCAAACATGCAAAGCATGTTCACTAGGTATCACGCGAGCCAATCATGCACCACGTCCACAAGGAGTATACCACACGCTGCAGGGCCAGCGAGCGCAACTATTATAGACTTGATGCCGAGAACAGTAGCAAAACCAAGCACCTCCAACCTAACTCACCTGCAGGCCCTTCGACGCAGCCGCAGACTCCTCCCCCTCCTGCACCCTCCCCAGCAGCACCTGCGGCGCAAGATCTATCTTGGCCATGGTCAGCCTCCTCAGCCACAAGTTCCCCACCAGCGCGTCCCCCAGCGCCTCTGCGCCGCTCTCCGTCACCCCGGTGTTTGCCAGCGACAGCCTCTCGAGCCTAGACCCCCCCTCCTCCGCCAGGGCTGCCGCGATTGCCTTGGCCCCGGCGTCCTCAATCTGGTTCCCGTCTAGCCACAGGGTCCGCAAAGTCTCGTTGGCACCGAGGGCGTCGGCCAGGAAGCGCGCGCCCTGGGCGGCAATGCGGTTCTTCTCGAGGTTCAGGCTCTCCAGCGTGCGGTTCATGATGAGCGCGTCGGACAGGAGGGCGCACGCCTGGGAGTTGAGGACAGTGTTGGCCAGGCTCACCTCGCGGATTGTGGTGTTGAACTTGATCACCTGTGCCAACGCCGCCGTGCCCACCTTTCTCGCAAGGGACGTGTGAGGTCATGTAAGTATGATGGCGGCGATTTGTGCGTCACGGGGTCGGGCCGGGTGTGGTTTTCGGGGGGGGGGGAGGGGGGTGTCGGCGACGAGCTGTTTTGTTTCCATTGAAAACAAACACACAGCACTATTTGTGTGGCTTTTTGTGTGGGGAGAAGATGGTTGAGATACCGTACCCAAAAACGTTGTGCACATACTACTTGGCAGGGCAGCGCTTGCCGGGGCGTGAAACGGATGCTCCGTGCTGTCGGCATATTCCGCATGCAATGCGGAATACCGGCAGCACGTAGCATCGGTGTCGCGAGCTGCAGCAGTACTACTTCACCCCGCGGTACTCGCGTGTGCACTGCCAATCCTCAAACTTACCGCAAAAGTGCGGGCGAACGCACATACCCAGGTGTGTGGCCGAATACAAGCTCGATTGCCCCACACAGCCAAGAGACTGAAAAAAAGTCGAAAAGGTTGGTTTTGGGAATGAGTATCGTCGAGAGCGAGGGTTTCCGTTCCTTCCACGTGTCGGTCGGTCGGTCGGGTCGCACCCTATTGCCCTCTCTCCTGGTTGCGTAGCTATCGATCATCCACCTTTGCTGCTAGACTACATACTCCGCGCGAGTTACATCTGCATAGCATCGAATTCAAACATCGCTACATCGAGAAGTGCAAATGTCGAGATCAGTAAGATTAAGCACGTTAACAATGCTACCATCAATCTAGAGAAAGAAAGCGGGGGATAGAGGGGGGGGGGGGTGCACACCGTCAAAGATAGGAGGGCCGCGGGAGATTAGAGCAATCCGTGACACTCGCTTCTCTGCGTACGTACAGCAGCGCCAGCCTCCAGAACAACCAAATCTCGGCTGTGCATGCTGGGCGGTACCCATGTGTGCGCCATCCCGTGTAGTAGGACATGCGCATTGCACAGCAGTACAATACGTGAGAACGGGGAGAGGTATGCCAACAAGCAGTTATGAAGAACGTATCCACTGCTGTTATACACTCATCGGCAACGCTCCTTGAAACCCCCCTGTGCCCAAGTTTGAGTTTGCAGAAGACAACAACGGTACACAGCAGTCCAAGGCGTTCATTGCCGCTGGAGTGTGAAGGACAATTGCATTTCGTTCCGTCAAAAGATTGTTCTCGTACCTCGCCGATGGGGTTGTGCGTGAAGTTCAGCGTGGCAAGCGTGTCGTTGAACTCCAGCGCCCTCGCTAACGATACAGCATCCTGAGACAACGCACGTGGATTTGAATGCGGAGGCAAACAAGCATCATGAAGCAGGTGAGCCTACATACTGAACGCTCGACAGCAGTCACGTGTGCATCCATCACTGCACTTGCACACATCGAGACACAGTAGCTTTTGCAACTAACAAGATACAAGGAACTACATGTTTCAACGCAGAAGCTCCGCATACACGCATCGACCCCACTTTTTTCGCTCAAGCGGTAGAGGGTGCTGCTCTGCTGTATCAACGAGGTTGCACTCACGTCTGAATTCAAGCGCACGTTGTACAGGATCAGGGCGGAAACCTGACTGCTTGTGGAAAGCAGCTTTGCAAGGGCAGTAACATCCTGCGTAGATAGGCTTCTATCGCGGAGATCGATCCTGTGGTCTCCTTGGAGGATGGCATCCGCCGTAGACCCTCGCCACATCGACATGGCTAGCGAGCTTGTTGGCGGAACAAGGAATGATGGTCATGTGTGCAAGAACTCTGCACTTGGCTGTTGGGTTGCTTCGCCGAGGAGAGAGATGGGGTATGCACGAAAATGGAAAGCAAATCGCGGCGCCCCTTCACATTGTTGCTGCTCTCTGCGCGCGCGCCATGCCCAAACCAGCCCAGTTGCTTCACCACATCCCAGCTTCGCAGTCGCCAGGTAGGTGGTGAGCATGTGAGAAAGCAAGGAAAAGGGGTAGGGGTGACGGGAAAAGGGGTTGGCTGCTTTTCTCCTGCGACGGCCCTACCGATCTTTGCGTACTTGACGCTCTGCCCACCGGGTGGTCCAACGAAGAGAGAAGAGAGCCTGTACACCTGTCTCGACCATTCATGGGGGACGGAAGCAGACATTGCTGTGACCCACAACCACAGCACTCGAGAGGGCCTTGCATTGCTCGTGGTGTCATGAGTGGTTGCTCTCCGGTAGATTTCCATGGCCTCTTAGTATTGATTTCTCCCCCCTGCGCGTCCTCTCTTTTCTGAGTTTCTTACTCCTTTCTATGTATGGTACTCTTTATTCTTGATGAAATTATTTTATTATTTTACCCGCTGACCGGTGAAACGATTATTACGATTTACTGACCGATGTTGGGACCCTCTCTAGAAGTGCATGTGGCCCTTTATAGTGGTATTACAGAGGTGTCCAGAGGGTGTATTTTTGTATTTGTTGGTGGTCTGTAACATCCACACAAGACACATGACACAACCGACACTGCTGTCTTGAGGTTTGGCCACTCCCCTATGCGATCAGTCTCTTGTGTGTGTGGAGGCTTCATGACACATACGGCTGAGGAACACTTGACTTCTGTACTTGTAGGGTAAAACTGCGAGGGACGGTTGGTGCATGGTGATGACGGGAATGTGATGCACCTTTGGCTCGAGGGCATGCCTCGGATCAGGCCAGACTCTTGTAGGTGCCTAAAAGCTCGACGCGAGCAATCAAGATTGATTTCTTGACAGTGCAATGTCAACTTACCGATTTTCAAGCCCTTTTTCGAGACAGCATGGCTAAAGAATGTTGTGCCAAAAGAACACAGGTTGATCCCACCCCTTACCAAATACAACCACGACCAAGCCTCCATCGACTTGCAGCAACTCGCCGGTTTGTTCGATGGTTATAACTCTGCCATCTCGCTGTCTGTCCCCTGTCCCCTGAACCCTCTCTGTGTTGGCACCCTCGCACCTGCAGAAGGGTAGCTGTCAAGAACTTGGACGATGAGTGGCCGACGTGATGGGACTTTCTTCGGCGACCCCGGCATGAGAGGGTGAGACTCTAAAGGGAGGGTGTGTTTGTTTATTTAAACGACGAACAGATGGATGCCTACTGGCAAGTTGAAGAACGGGCAGCCTGAAAACTTGGTAGAGATCTTGCGTTCATTCCACATCAGCCGCACCTTCTGGTCTTGACACGATTCGAACGCATGCTGTCGAACGCATCGTCCAACCGACTTAGCCTATCGTTTGCCCCATGCTCCCCTCAGCGTTTGCCTGATGTCGCGATGTCTTTGCAGTGATCTCTTCTCCAAGAAAACGGGCGAATCGTACAGGTTTTCGATGTATGATAAATGTATGATAGACTAAATACTTGTGATGCGTCTCGCGCATTTTATCACGACAACCATGCCGTCCGCTCGTCGTACATTTTTTTTTCTTTCTTGCTCCTCTGACACAAAGAACCCTATGCCCATTGTATGAAATGTTGCTGTACACAGGAACGGGCCTCCGAACATTGAGGGCATGGTCACCCTCAAGGTGGACAACGTGCCCTACAACTCGAGCATCGATGACCTCAGGCGCATCTTCGAAAAGTAAGCAGGCGGCTTGGTCATAACGATGACGTTCTTATGGGTATCGAGTGTCGGGTGCCTCTGGTTGCTAGTGGTCAGTGCTACTGCTGTTACAACGCTCACCTCTGTTTTTGAAGTGCCGTTTGAGTGAAGAACTTGTGGGTCCCTTTGTGCCGGTTCAGAGTTTTCCGACCTAGAAAGTCGGCGTCGGCTGTCGAGTGGCACAGCTATTGCTTATTCCTGCTCGGTATGGCTCAAGCCCTGGGCCTTAGAAAACAGCCATGACCTGCTGCCGCGTGCGGATAGCGTCTCGCTGTTGCATGTGCTGGCGCCACGTCGGGAAAGAATGGACCGTAGTATACCCCCCCCCTCGCCAAGTCACAGTCTTGCTGGTTCGGGTGGTTTAATACTTCGGTTTAGGCACGGGTTTTGATTGTCCTCCCAACATGTCCAAAGTAAAACTCTGCCAAAAGGATCCTGGCCACGCTTACCCTCGGCTTGTGGTATAACCTGCTCCTCGGGTATTGTGTTATTTGTCTCCTTGTTATATCGCATCTGAAGCATTTCCAACGGGGGCGGGCAGACTGTAATATAGCAGCTACTTACATACCTATGTGCGTGAGTGGTAGCCGAACGACCAAGCGTGTTGCCGAGGTTTGGACCCGAGGCGGATCAAAAATTGGTACAAGAAATAGTTGTAGCTGTTCGTCACCTCAGCCTCACTCACCTGCTCGCCATCGTCCTCTCGCCTTGTCCTACACCTGCCTACGGTCGGAACCGACTGCTGGGTACATGATGTAGCAGACGCGAGACCAACAGAACGAAAGTATCCTGACTACTTTGGTGTCCTGGCCTGAACTGACCTGACCTCTACTACTGTCACGATCAAAACGCACGACGAGGGAGACCTGTCTGTGTGGGTGAGAGTGGTGATGGCGCCGAAATTTTGGTGTTGTTCACAACGTACGGGGTTTGCAGCACCCGGGGTGAGGGCCCGACGTTGAGATGGAGTCGCGATCGATGGTGATGATGGTGGTTTTCCGTGAAGGGAGGGGATCAAGGCTGCTGGCGTGAGAACGAGAGCAAAGCTGACATCAACCAGTGAAGAGAGTCGAGTCGAGTCGAGTCGAGTCAGACCGTCATCTGATCCTGTGTGTTCCTGTTCAGATCCTGACCTTTCTGATCCTGACCTGGCGAGAGAGACAGAGAGAAAGAGAGAGAGAGAGACAAAAGCGAGCGTACTGCCGAAATCGTGTACCAGTCGAGTCGAGTACAGGCGAACGAAAAGTACAGACATAGGGTGTCGTTTTGAGAACGGTGGTGAAGAAGGGTCGGGCGTGTTGTGGCTGGCTGGCCGGCTGGCTGCCACATATGTGTTCGTTGGCCGCCGCCACCCGACCCGACCGCGCGTGACGCGAGGTAAAGTGCTTCCTTCCTTGCCGTTTCTCGGTGTGTTTGCGACAAGGGAGTGTATGGCTTTAGTCTTTCGACGCGCTGCCGATGTTTGATTTTGAGTTTGGTCCACCGGAGTCTGATTAGGTGTTTGGTCGATTCAGTAAAGCACTAGTTAGCACGACCGTAGGTAGCTTTCTCGCCCGTAAGATTGCTCGCGTTGTGGCGGTGTTGTGCGGCGTTGCGCGTATCCGGGACTTGTGTCTGTCTTTCGCGGGTGTACCCGGTTTCGGCCGCTGCTGCGTCTGCCGAGTCGGGTGGGCGGGACGATAGGGAAGAAGTTGTGTCTCCCTTCTCCGATGCGCGGAGAACCCCTCCCCCCCCCCCGATATTTGTACCATAAGAACGTGTACGGCAGTAGGTGTATAATAGGGTTTTCACTGCGTCGACCTCGCGTACCATACAAGTTGACCATCTCTCCAGCTTCTTTCGGAGAGAGAGATAGACAGAGCGGATCTCTTGCTGCCGTTCGTCACGCAAGCAACAACTGGCCCGAAGCGGCTAGGGTGGACGACGTGCGCGAGAGGCATTCACCGCCATGACGCGTGTGCCCGATGAATACGACCAAGCTATGGCCTGCTGCAACCAACCCAGCATCTCCCCCCGCCCCCGGTACATCCCGTCTTGTTTTTTTCCCCATGAAAGGTACGGCGAGCTTGGTGACGTTTACATGCCCAGGGACCTGCGCACCGGAGAGCCGAGGGGATTCGCCTTCGTGCGGTTCATGGACCAGCGGGACGCAGACGACGCCATCGACCGCATGGACGGAGAGTTTTTCGCCGGCAGGGAGCTTCGGATCCAGGTTGGTTTGTCTGTGCGGGGGACAAGAGGGAGGGACGATGGACAATACCGTGCGTATGCGTCTGTGTGCTGGAGCTTTTTTTTTTTTATTTTGCTCGCTGTTTGTGCCCGTTCGCCCGAAAATGGTGGCGTGATGAGGGTGTACGCATGGTCGAGGGTAATGTGGTAATCCCGACAAAGAGCAGGCGCGTGGAGATGATACATGGTACATAGTACTGTTTGCGACAAGAGAGTGCACTAGTTACGCTGTATTTTCTTCATGATGCGCGTTGTTATCTGTTTATTTATGATTTTTCCTCGTGTACTGCTGTCCTGCCCAAGTAGCCACGTACGTTTCGATCGAACCCTCCCTGTGCCACGACGTTCAACAACGTGTGAAATATTTTTGTTGTTTCGCGCAGTACGCCAAGAAGAGGAGGCCCGAAGCCAGCGGCGGGTACGGAGGAGGCGGTGGATATGGCCATGGGGGGGGAGGAGGAGGAGGAGGATACGGTGGTGGTGGCGGTGGGGGGCGCTACGACAGGCGTGACGACAGGCGCGACGACCACCGCCGCTCCAGCCGCCGCAGCCGCAGCCGCAGCCGCTCGAGGTACAACCCGCTATGCCCATGTGTCCCCTCGTACATGCCATAAAACTAATATTCCTTGTAGATACGAAAACACGCTTGTTGGGATGGCGGCAGGGGGAAGCGTTAGCGACCCAACAGGATAATTGTTGGGTAAATTAGCGATGCGGGAGAATATGGTGCTTTATTAGTTCGTGAGAAGACAGGGGCTTGCCCGCCCCGCATTAATGGGCCGTGAGATTTTTTGCCGCTTCACAGGAACATTGCAGGCGGTATTTCGAACGCACACAAGAGTCGCGGCGCCTGGAATGTGTCACGTTTTTGGTTGTGGGGGTTGGCTTGGTGTGAAATTTTTGAACCATGTTTGGGGACACGGCTTTTTCAGATGCCCCCCCCCCCCCCCCCCTCGCTCCGTCCCGGCATTGTAGGGATGCGAGATCCATGGAAAACCGACTACGGTATGCACTTACATGAGTACCCCCCTCCCCCTTCCCTCCTCGACAGGGACCGTCGCCGCCGTCGATCCAGGAGCGCCTCCCCCCGCCGCGAGCGGTCCCGCGACCGCCGCCGGTCGAGGTCCAGATCGCCCCCCCACTCCCGCCGCCGCTCCCGCTCAAGGTCCCGCTCCCGCTCCCGCTCCCGCTCGCCGGCGGCCAAGCGCAGCAGCAGGCACCGGGACGGCAGCGAAGAGGGCGGCGGCGGCGGCGGCGGGCACAGCAAGAGGGGCAGGGACCGCCGCGATTCCAGCGCGGATGGCGGCAGGGACGGCGAGGTGGGTGGTGGGTGTTATGTTGTTCTTTGTTCGCGTGCTAAGAGAGGGGCTGGTGGTCACCCGTGTGTGTGCTTCGTTCAGCCTGTGGGGCATTGCAAATCTGGTGTCTTGATTCAAGATTGAAGGCATTTTCCGAGGCGGAACAATGTGTTCGTGACCGTTGCCGATTTAAGAGTTGTCACACATGGATGACCCTACTGCTGTATTCTGCATCCGAGAAACACTTTCTTTTTGTGTCTTCGCTACTGCGTTTAAATCTAGAACGATGCGGCGCGACGAAGGCCTACCGCAACGCGGCAACCCGTTGAGCAAAATATATTATGGCCCACGCCTCTCCTTTCTTCCTTGTTCGTTTCGGTGCTGCTGCTGCTGCTGCTGCTGCTGCTGCTGATTAGGCCGATAAGCGCAATGGGCATCGTGACAGCAGCCCGCCCATGAACGGCGGCAGCGGCGGTCGGAGCAACAGCCGCCGCAACAGTGATGCCGGTAGCGCCAGCCCCCGCTGATTCTAGTGCGAGGGGGTAGGCGTCCCTGGGGCGAAAACGCGGTGGGTTTGCGCTGCAAAGGCCGCCGTCCACTGCCGTACGAAGATGGAGGCGTGCTGGCCGCACGACGCGAGAGAGGCTCTCCGAGTGTTTTTTTTTATCGGCGTAGGGGCCATGAGTATCATACTTTGCAGCGCATGTCTGTGGCAAAGGAGCATGGAATCTTGTGGAACACTTCACCGGTTAGTGTAGATGTGTTGCGGCGCAACCTGTGTTTTTTCTTCTTTTTTTTTGTTGACGCGTACTTTTCTGTCCAGCTCTGTAACAGCCATGGTGTGTACATTCGGGTTTCTCTTGTGTCGTGTCTTTCATGTCGTGTGCGGCAGCTTTCTACATTTGCTTTGCACCGTGGTTACCGACATGAGTCGAGGCGGCGATTGATCATCTTGCGTGCGGTGGTGCTCTTTTGAGCTGAAAACCCCAAGGGCACAACGTTCTAACGGTGCTCTGTTTCATTACTCGGGGCTAAGTTAGCGAAGGATCACTTCGGTTGGAAATGAAAGGAACGAGGGAAGCACGCGCTCGGGTGTTGCTGTTAAGACGAGTACAGAATGGTCGATCAAGTTTGTGATACTTGCAGTTGGTTGTTGAGGGTCGTTTCATGTGTTGGGCGTCTATTGTAGTGGATGCAGGGGGGTTGTCGTTGCCTCAGTCGAATGGATTTGAAACTCAGCCTTTCCTCAGTGCCAGTTCAGTTTCGGTTGACTCTCGCTTTCCCATGTTTGGGTCACTTGCTGTCACCATTACGCGTGGTCTCTACCACCTGTTGATGACTCTCGTGTTTCCGCCAATAGAAACGAGTCCTACCTTGTACGTACCGGATTGTTGGCGGGTAGGAACAAGATCGGTGGTGGACATGTATGCATAGATAGGTGATTGCGTCTAATAGTCCACCTTTCTTTCTGGGCGCACAAGTCGGGATCGCGCGGGAAGGATCGATCGCTATTATTGGGGTTTATTCCCCCCGTTTTCGTTCGAGTGAAAGCGAGCTTGTGTGGGTGGAGTAACGCTCTGCCTCGTTGCAGTCTTGCAGCACTTCATTGTGCTGTCAGTATGTAGTCCCCGTGTTAGTGCGCCGCTGGTGAAATTGGCTGGAACAAATGGAAGCATCGATCAAGCATTATTATTGTAGTTCAATTACCCCACTTCTTTAGGTCGCCCGCGGGTACATAGCTACTCAGAGTCAAATCGCTTACCATAGAGTCTACCCGCGCTATGCAGGGAACTCTACTACCTCATCGTGGACATCGACCAGTTCTCAAAACAGTGTGTGTGCTCCCCAATTCTCAAATGCTGCCTCGGGGCCTCTTTTACTTTCTGTTCTTTTCTACAACAGCCGTCGTGACAAAAGTAGAAGTTTGGTTGTATGCATACTTTTCTGTTCCAAGTCCTGATTATTTTGTACTGGTTTTTTCGAAGCGCGTACTGCGTGAACCCTCCGTTGAGCAGTTGGCCCGTGATCACGGAAGTTGTCCCCATCAGTTGTACGTCTTGCCCTATGGGGCATAATAATCAGTCTGTGCATGTGTCGGGGTATATGTTGTACTCTCCAAACTTCGACCCACGATCATCAATGCAAAATGTTCCCACAAGTACGTACGTACGCTAACCTACACAGCCGCATGAGGGGACAAATTTTACCGTGTGTGCGTGCGTGGTTTTAGATATGCACACGGCGCCCACTGACGCCCGGAGTGATCTATGTTTAATTTTGAGTTTGGAAGCATTGCTCGGAGTGATCATGTTTGGAAGCGTTGACTCTTGAGAAAACATGAGTGTATTGACATTCGGAGAAGCCCTCAAACGAACAAAAAATAACGGATCTTAATTTTGTGTTCTGAAAAATTCGAATATTTACGAATTTTTTATACATCTATTGTTGCTTCAGAAGGCTCGGGGGTGTTGCCGAGCCTCCTGAAGAACAAAAAGCTGCTTGTTGACTGTTGGGTAGCCATAGGTACAATATAGTGGTTGCAATGCCGGGCAAAATCAGCCTCGTCTTCTATCTAATGGATGTTGCACAGCAGCCTATATTTTGTCCGATTTTCGAAGCCACAGTTTTCGGGTTGCGAGGGTCGTTTGGGTTGAAAAAAAATTAGGCCTGCCTACATGTGTATAGCTCTCTCATCTTCATCTCCATCATGGCACACCCGGCGTTAATAAATATGTACGTTCGTGTGTGTTGCACGGTTTTCTCGAGTGCTACATACAACGAGACAGCCCGTCTTTTTGCCCCGCCTCCCTCCGGAAAGCCAGACGTCGCGGCTCGATCTTGTGGCCGTGTGCAACCCCCAAAAGACGCCACCCACCGAAGATTTGGCTGCCAAAACTCTGCATCCAGCAATCCGCGATATACCCCGAACTCCTGTCCGGGCTAACTGTGGTAACCATCGCAGTCTCACGGAAGGTTCCTGCGGAGGGATAATAAACTTCCAGCGAATTGTGGGCGCACAGCGCACACACGCAATAACGTTTGGGCTTCAACGCCGCCCTGCTCACAATCGTTCAAGCTGGTGCCGTGGAAGAAGGCAAACACCACACGGGAAAGCTTCTTCCTGCGGATAGTGTGCATACCGTTGCGACGTCTCCCCCTCCGGCATCTCTCCACTTTGGGTGAGAAAGCTGGAATTGCCGACTTGTTGTGCGAAATCCCCTATTTCCCGTTTTCGCTCCCTCCATCGTGTCCGCCCCCCTCTCTTGACCTTTGCTTTTGCAGCGGCGCGACCGACGCCAACGATAAAAGAACACAACAGCGGCAGCAGCAGTAGGAGCAGTCGCGCGTTTACCTTGCACGGCACAACCTCGCCTCGCGCAGCCAAACTGATCATGAGCACTGGCGGCCCTTGCACTTCTCTTCTCCGTGTTGGCAGCATGCGCGAAGTTGCGTCTTTCAAGAGCGGGAGCCCTTTTTCGAATCGAGACCAGCGGCAGCAGCAGCAGCAGCAGCAGCAGCAGCAGCAACCCTTCCCCCTCCCCGTCACGGCGATGCGTTTCGGTGGCACTTCGGCTGCTGCTCCCGCTGCGGCAACCTCTACCTCGATGGCCTGGGATGACAATGACGAGCCCTTGCCGGACATGGCCCCAATCCTGAGGAGCGTCTCGAGCCTCGTCATGTCCATGGACCCTGAAGACGGCATGTCTGCTACCTCTCCCTGCGTCACTGCAACTGCAGGGCGAAACCGTGGCACCAACAACATGGTCGGCACCTGCAACAGCAGGAGCAGCAGCAGCGCCGCCGAGAGAGCCAAAACTCAGAACGGCGCCGCGCTGGGCTCCAACGCGCTGGACATGCTCATGGCGCCGCTGCCGCCCACCCTCATGGACAGCAACACGTGCCTCAGCCGGGAGCAATCTTACCCGCCGCCGTTCGGCCGGCCGCGGTTCGGTCGCGATCCTTCCTTCCCCCCCCCCGTGCAGGTGGGCGGCGGCGGCGGCGGGTTAACTGCGGTGGACATGCTCCCGTCGGCGCCGCCTTTCCGCAACACTTGGTCGCAGGTGGGGCGCAGCATCGCGGCGTCAACGGAGACGCCCTGCAGCAGCGGCAGCGGGACCACCACCATGGCCGGCGGGGGCGTGTACGCCGCTGGCGGCGGGGGAGGAGGAGGAGGCCCCAGCTTGTCGAGCGGCAAGTTCCAGGGCCTGGGCTTCCCTGGCACCGGCGGCGGCGGCGGCGGCGGTCGCCTCGGCGTCAAGCAGGAGCGGCAGTGGGAAAACGATCATGCGGGAGGCCGAGACCACGGCGGGGGCGGCACCGGGGGACGGAGCCTGAGCGACGAAGACCACCATACGGACTACCACCCCGACGACATCATCGGCGGCATCCTGCCCTCTTCGCGCCCGCGCCGCCCGAGCTTCGACAAACTCGCCGCCATGATCCCCGGGATCCCCCACTGGCCGGTCCCGCCCTCGCCCTCCTCATCGCCTCCGGCGCCGTCGTCGTCGCCATCTGCCGGAGAGTCGTCAGGGGAACTCCATGCTCCTGCCGCTAGCGGCGGCGGCGGCGGCGGTGGCAGCGCCAAGGCCAAGCAGCAGGCTCAGTTTCCCCTGCGGACGACAACACCCCGCCTGTCCCCGTCAGCACCAGCACCAGCAGCAGCGCCGTCTTCGCGGGGACGGCAGCCCAAGATGACCCGCGCTGACAAGAAGCCCAAGAAACATCACCACAACCCTACCGCCGATTCTCCCACAACCGCTCCTTGGACCGCTCCGACGCTGCCGTCACCGGCGGCGGCGGCGGCGGTGGCGGCGAGCATCCCCCCCAAGAAGACCCCGTCGTCGGGCAACGGCAAGCGCGCCTTGGAGACCCCCCTCTCGTGCGGGCCGGCGCGCTCCGGCGGGGGCCCCGTGGACTTGGCCAAGCAGGAGAGGCGCCGCGTCAAGATCCAGAGGTACCTGTACAAGCGCTCCCGCCGGAAGTTCGCCAAGTCCACGAGGGACGCCTCGCCGTCCCGCTCCCGCCCCAAGGCCGCGCTGCTCCGCCCGCGGATCAAGGGCAAGTTCGTCAAGACCACGCCCGACTTCGTCTCCGTCAACGCCGGCGGGCCGCCGCAGCGGGAGGACGGAGACGGGGATGGGTTGGCGCAGTGGGAGCCCACCGACATGCTCGCCGGCAACATAAATAACGCCTTGTCGCCGAAACCCCAGGTGGCCGCGGGGGGGGTTGGGGGAGGGCGGCGCGGCGGCGTCGGCGGTGGCGGCGGGGTGCGCTCCGTGCGCAACGGCGGGAGCGTCAACATAATCTTCGACGACATCAGCAAGAAGCCCTTCTCCACGACCCCGTCCTCTTCGCTCATGCCGAAGGGTGGCGGGGGCAGCATCCTCCCCCCACGCGCGGCCGCCCTTTCCCCCGCTGGCGCCCCGAACGCGTTCGCGTGGTCCGTGAGGCCCGTGTAAATGAAAAATGTGAGAGTTGCTTTCTTGGTTGTTGTTGACGACGACGCTTGTGTCCCCTGAAGTTGAGAGTTGCGTCGCGTCGTGGAGTGTCTCTGTTGACTCTGGCTAGCTGCTGCTTTGCGTGTCGATCGAAGGTTGTAGTTACCGTAGCATGTGTGCACCTGCCCTGCTGTTGTTTTTGTTGTTCTGGAGTTGTCGCGTGGTGCATGCTGCTGTTGCGTCGTTCGGGAGGTACTATAATACTGTAGATCCGAGGCCGTGCTTTTGCTGTGGAGGGGAGGATGAAAGACGATGATAGGTCGATCTGTTTGGGTTGGTTTCAAGCGTCCATAGTCTCATTGCTGTCCCCCGGGCGTGTTGAGGGCAGAGCCGTGAAGTTTGTTAGTTAGACTCACAGGTACTTTATATAACGTTATGTGCGTTTTTCTTGTTGTGTATATCATTTTTTAGCGAGTGCTTTTGTTGTGACGGCCTCGGCACCGCCGCTCCTCAAATTGTGGTAACATTCATTTTACACCCCCCGTCAAGCCGGCACGTTCATGTCATGTACGTCTCTACATATTTTACACAAAATTTTCTTGTACTTCCTTGGTTGGATCTGTTGGTGCATGCTCCTCGTACTTTTGCTCCCCCCACCCCCCCGCTGTTTCCTGTTGTGTTGTGTGACGTGGAAGGAATTAGCGCACGCTCCTGGCGCTCAAACTGTAGAGAGCAATATGCTATGATATGTCGGTTTTTAAATTGGCGTCGGGCTTAAAGGGTACATGCTTGCTCAAGCCCCATGCCTTGTTCCACCGCGAGTGTATTGCATGTTTATTTTGCGTTATTTGTTTGCTTCGAGTATGCTCAGACTCGGAGAATTTTTTTTATATATATTGTCCTGCCGATCCCGTTGTTAGGAACTTTCGGGTGGCGAGGTTCTGTTTCACGATGACGTCGTTGTGTGTTGGCGGCAGTGTTACTCTGTCTGTTGCTGCTCTTAGCGACAATGCATGGTGCATTATTAGTGCAGCAGCCCGCAGCACACGTGTGTGTTTTACAACCCTGGCTGTACTCGTCCCTTGCAGCTTGGGTACATCTTGAAAGTCCCGAAAACGCCACTCGGTAAGGGTAAGGGTATTTTGTAGGCAAGGGTGTCCTGGTTAAAAGCACCAGCGCGGTCGTGAATGTGGCGCGATTCTGGCTGGTGCCGATCATGCATATGGTTGGTGGTAATATTGTGGTTGGGAATGCTTGGAGTGTGGTGTGTTACTGATGACTGGGGGGGGAGGGAATAGAGCGAAGCCCTGAACCCTCACTCATACGGATGGTTGTGTAGTATGTGATGGGGCTGTTGGCGGACGGCCCAATCGAGTCGTGTTTGTCCTTTGGTGTTGACGTTTTTGTTGGTGTAGGCCTGCGGCATGGTCTCTGTCGGCAAGTGCCTCGGTGTGTTTACCTCGCTAGCTAGCCTCATCTCCCATGGTCGCGATTAAGCATGTACGGCGACTGGTTATCTTGCAGTCCTTTCACACACGCGCGCGCGCGCGTGTAGTAGATCAGGTTCACCATCCATCCCTTGTCTTTTGTGTTCATCGCGCTAAGTTGGTCTTGGCTTTCGTGCGCCAATTTTCGGCGCGGCCGGCGGCGTGCATTCTCCCCCTCGCCCCCGTTGGAGGCTCGTGGTATCGGTTGGTGTCGATTCCTACAAGCTTCATTAGAAAAGCCCCTTCCCACCTCCCGTTTGGGGTTGGGGCTGGTAGAATCTGGCGGTTGGTGGTCTGGTAACGTACGTACGCACGTGGCAGATTGGGAGGGGGGTAGGGATATGAGCTAGCTGCGTTCATTGGTCTGTGTCCAACATGATCGAAAAAAGAAGAAAAGTTTCACACCAACCTGTCAACGTATCTGCTGAGTGATGGTGGTGGGGATATTTATTCCCACCAACGCTAAAGTTTCCTGTCTCTCTTTGGGAACGTTTCAGAGAATGGGATTCTTGCAGCCCATCTTTTCATGTTTTTATTCCTTGAGACCCCCTCTACCCCCGGTGGATGTGGTTGGATGTGGTGCTTGCGTTTCGCGGCTGCACATACGTCATGTATGCTGTCATGTGTACATGTGAGGCATTACTGTTGGTGTCGACCGCGCTAAGCGGCTGACCAATGAAAATACGTCAGTCTCAGTGCCGCTGATCACAGAACAATAGCCTATGCTTCTATTCATAAAGGCGGTGATCTTGGACCCCGTGGTGGGGCATTATGCGGGAGGGGAGGCTAAGCTGCTGCTCTCCAGATGAAAGACAGAAAAAAAACGGTAGCACACGTGAAAAACTACATTCACGTGTCTACCAGGCTGCTGCAATAGTTTGTACTCGCTCGTTTTCGTTGCGGCCCTTTTTTGTATGGCTGGCTGTGTAAGTGACGAGTCTTGGTCGCTCCTCTTCGTAATTCAAGCATCCCCGTCTTCTTCCCTCGTTATTTTGTCAACATCATTATCCTTGCCTCTTATCTTTGAGAGAAGGAAGTGGCGGTCTCGCTCAATCTTCTTGTCGTAGACTACATCCTTGCATTGACCTCGGGATGTATCTCGAAAGGATATTCTTTCTGTGTTTCTATTTACTTTTCCCAATAGAAAACAAAGCTTCTTAGACTATTTTCCTAGATAGAGATGTATTCGTTGGGTCATATTCAGAAAATAAAAAAAAAACATCAACGCTTTTACTCTGTGCATGCAGGTAGGTGCATGATGAATGAGGTGGAGGTGGAGGGTGTATGTACTCATTCCCGTTCTTTGGCGAGACGAAAATCAACGAACTCGTTCGCCGTCAACTATTTGAGTTCACTGCTCACTGCTCGTCACAGCGAAACATTGCAGATTTTGTTTTTCGATGCCACGCGTCAAGACTAGACGAGGTAATTACTGGACACATGTCGATAGCTGGAGAGTAAATTGAACGCAAGTTTATTTATCGGGGTGTCTCGAGTAAAGATCCTCCGCCCGGATGCACAAAAAAAACACGCCGTATTCCGACTCGTTCACAACCCCACAATAAACTACATAGCGCACCGCACAGAGCAGCCGTGAATCGACCAAGAAACGCTAATTGTATTATCATTTTCTGTGAATAGAATAGAGGGACTGCTGTAGACCTGAACCAGAGACTAGCTATACATACTGCTGTACTTACAAAAAAAAAGCAGCATTGCGATCTTCTTGAGGAACAACCGCGCATGGCAAGGTTTTTCAGTTATTATCTTCAGCAGCACATATGCTATTGCTGTACCGCCTCCAGGGAGACTGTACCGTGGTAGCCATGGACGAGCCATCTCTTCTTGTTTCATGCACGCCCCTACATACTAATCATATCTTCATTCACGCACGGCAAAGAAAGAAAGATACACCGGACATGTTGAATACCAGCTTGCCTGGGGGGGCTTGCGTGACGGATATATATAATGCATGGTCCTTTTTCATCTGCTGTTCCTGGGATAACATAGTACCCAGTCTCAACACCACAGACCGCTGAGGGCGGCAGTGCACACTTACAGGGCACCAACTCCCTTGCGGACACTGGACACCGGGCTGTCATTTTGGTGCTCATTAGCCCCCAGGGAGGGGGGGGGGGGGGGTTCCGTGGGCCGGAAGCAGAGCCACCAAACGATGCGTGAACATAATGCTGCTGTAGATCTCATGAGCGCCGTAGCTTACCTTGTTCTCGCCAATCCATCCTCCAAGAACAACTTGGGGACTTTGATACGATGTGGTGCTGCGTTTGCCGTGGAGGAGGTGATTGTGGTCGGGGCGTTCAAATGGAGCACTCACGGTGCCCACGGCTCTCACAAGGTGCGGCATCTCTCCAAGCACCAAGCTTCAGCGTAACACCGTTCATGTGGTGTGCCATACCCTGCCCGGCGCTGCTATCGGCATCGAGTAGAAGCACTGTATATAGTTGCTTGTTTGCAGGTGTAGACTAGTGTACTTACTACTGGTATACCCTACTGCTGTGCCGTCTGGTACATTAGCCGGGCACATGCACCTTTTCCTCGCAGTGTGTTTAAGATCCTGTTGCAGTACTGCTGTGTAGGGAAAAGCCTACAGCAGTAACTGGAGGAGGAGGGTGCCATAGCAATGCATCCGCAGCATTGTTCCCCTCACTGCCACAGGACGCGCACTGGTTTGACCCTACCTTCGAAAACGTGTTGTTCGCGTTTCGTATGCTAACAGCTCCGCGTTGCTGCAGACTGCTGCCGGGTGGTAATTATGACCAGCAGTGGAAATGGGGAAGAGTTTTGGACGTGTCTGACACCTACTTCCTAAGTATTGATGTATTGACGTCCCCTTACAATATACAGAAGTATATCACAAGACCAGCAGGCGAAGTACCATGAAGTGGCATGGCAACACCGGCTTTTCTCTACTTTGCAACATGCCACAGTGTGCACAAATAATTTCGAACTTCGGTCCTCTTTGCCACCGCCGGCGAGTCGGCAATTTACCACTTTGACTGCACCCGACCTCTGCCTCTTGCTTGCACTCTGGCATCTATATACCCTCTCCTGTTTTCTTGTCTACGGTAGCACCTTCGGTACCGGTGCTTCGATGACTGGGAGACGGCCGCCACCTTCCTAAGAGACGAGAAGGGTTGCGATCTTTGCGGCGTTGTAAATCAAAGCCAGATCCAACCCCAAAGACGAGATTCGCCTGTGGGTCGCGAGCCGCCGCCACCAGCACCTCCACGGGGAAGCGTGGTGCCAGTATCAGCACCAGAGTCTACTACCGCCGCTACGAACTTTGCCGCGCAAGGAGAAAGCGGGCCGGGAGTTGATAGCTCTTCTGCCAGTCTACCTCTCACGAATATTCCTGCCGCTGAGCAGGGCGCCGGTAGTGCCGCTTCAGAATTTTCCGAGGAACGGTTTCTGCGGTCGTCATCGTCATCATCATCATCATCACAAGAAGAAGAACGTGTCCCAGAGGAGAGATTGCGGGAGGGAAGCAACAAGGAGGATCGTCCTACCGTTATAGCCTCAACAGCTGTGCGTCGCCGGCCATTTCGAAGAAGCACGGCGTTCTTGGTTGGACATGGCAATCGCTTGGACCACGAGGCGCTGGACGTGTGCGATTTTTTCGTGCACGTCGAACAGGTAGGTGAGGGGATGCTGGGAGGGGGGCCTGGAAAATCGAACTGACCAGAGTGGTGACCTGGGCGGGCTCGGTTGTCTGTTGAAGTATCTACAGTAGTAGCAGTGGTATGAGCCTGAAATCTGTGGACACTCTCGGCACCGCATGCAAGCAGTTGACCCTCTGGTCGTATGCCACCCCCTTTCCCCGACTGGTACAGCTTGCCATGGTACACGATGGTTGGATTGCCGCATCCACTGGAACCGCTGGCCGTTACGCGATAGCAACGCTTCGATGGAAGCCGCTCTTATCTAGACGATGTCGTGGTCTCTCAAGACACTCAATCTTGTGCCTGTACGTTTTTTTCATGGATGGCGTTTTTTTTCTCAGGCGAGCGAGTCCCCGATGGAGCTGGCTGCCCCCGTGACCACGTCTATCGCACTCCACCACTTCACAGCTTGGGCAAACTACGAAGAGGTATCTACGTATCCGCTGCAGCATTGGTTTTAAGTAGCGCCAAGGTCTGCTGACGCGGTGGAACCTCGCCTTGTCTGTGGCGTACGGTGCCCGCGGCCGCGAGTTTTGCGGAACGAACCCGCGTGTTGACGGGCCGGCTTGATGTGGGTCACACAAACTCCGGACATTAGCCGTGGTGCCGTGCTGTACGATTTTGTGATTTCTACAACTTCTGGAGCTTTCTTTTTCAACAAAACACCAACATAAACGGTGAGACATGCCAGGCTTTGTTTGCGTGGAGGGAGCCTGCAATGCGCTACCGTACACCTTTGAGGCATTCGCGGAAAATGTGGAGCAAAAGCGCGCGTGAATGATTGCAAATAAGCCGGACAAGACTTGGTGGCCAGGGCACCCAACACTTTTCGTAGCGCCACTTGCCACGATTGGAAGCTCTCTCTGAACCGCCTGCCTTTGTTGCTTCTTTCGGGCTCTCTGTCCTTTCGATCCTGCTCGGCATCCGTCCCTTGCAGCGGCATTTCACGGGAGAAAAGTTTAACGTGGACGTGGAAGCGGCTCGACGTCACCCTCCTATCCAAAAGGTTCGACACACCAACTGCCCCGATCCGTACAGGCCTTCTGTGTAGGCCACCTTGTTGCTGTGCTGTCAACGTGCTATCCACTCGTCGTAATGTGTATTGGTAAACGTCAAGACGGCCTTGCGGAAGACAAGTAGACGTGCATTGCTGTCCAAAAATCAAAAGAAGACGGCGAATGAAGGTCCATGCCTTCTTGAGAGAGAATTCTGCTCGGTATGCTGGCATTAGGTGCATGTTGCGGTTGTGATGCGTCACGCAAACGGAGGGTTGCGACGGAGGGCGCCCGATTTCCCCTTCACCACCTCGCCTCAATGAAGCTGATGGAGCTGATGCGGGAAAGGGTAACCTACTTATCCGCACCCATGCTTGCTGGGTCTCCCCTTCCACGATTCTGACCGTCCGTTATCTGCAACACGCCGACCACCTCAGGACAAGAACGCCTTAGCCGAGGAGCGCGTGCGTTTGCGTGAGGAACGCCTAGCGGCGGATCCACTAGAAGGGGCTGCGTCCCTAGGGGATGAAAGTTCTCAAGGCGGAGGGGGATTGGGGTGGCTCGCCGGCGTGGAAGGTGATGCGACAGCTAATGGTGACTACTGAGAGCAGCGGCGCTTTTTTTGAGGCGATCCGTTGAGTTGCAAGCGGGGTCGGGGCGACTGGTGCGAGTGGGTCGTGTTGAAGGGCGGCCACGGCGGTAGGAGAGAAAAATGAATTATGTTGTGTTTGTGGCGGATCTATCTGTGGAGTTGCTAAGAAACGCGGGTTGGGACACCGGTAGCCCCAAGTGCCATCGACACGCGGAATTTCAATGTTCGCCGCGCTGCCCTTGCTTTTTTCAAGTGACAGGGCTGCCCTGGCCTTGCTAGAGACAGGCTTGGTGCGGTCTCTTTAGGGTTAACCCCTCCCACGCCAACAACTTCCATGTGTTTGCCAGAGGAATGGCAAGACTTTGACCTTGCGTCACGTGGAGGATTCTTGTTCCTTTAGCGGAGAATGAAACATGCTCGGAATCGGTGACAACCAACCTCGCAAGTCATCATGAGCGATACCGCCGCCCACCGGCCGGAATGACGTGCGGGGCTGAGTAGAGCAGGCAACGCGGTGGGTAGTCCTTCACGTCCTGTTTTTTCTTTGGTTGGTTGCTCGCTCGCTTCTGCCTGGGAACCAGGCGGTAAATTCCTCTCTAGCGTTTTTGACCCTAGCGCTTCCCAGGGGGAATTTTGGTATGGCAACGGCTTGCGCGTGAGCGGTCGCCATCAAAACCGGCGGAAGGAGGAAGTCGATTCCGATAATCTCGGGTAGGGGACAGAAAAGCTGATGTGCATTCTTCGTCCAGCGAGACTTTCTTAGATTGTCAACCATGGAGAGGCTCTGCATCGTCGGAGTTGTAGAGAAATTGTGAGGGTTGCGGAAAGCGGGTGTCTATGCGTTTGTGCTGGGGAGTTTTGGCACAGGTGGACAGCGATCTTTTTCGGAGGTGGACAGCCTCTTGTCGGAAGGAAGAAGCGCAGAGAGAACGAAAGAGATGGAGAAAAATAACGCGGTGCCCTGCCGGGGGGGCGTACTGTCCGTACCACGCACCCACCTACCCCCCAGAGTCCCCACAGGTAAGCATAGAGTACCGGGTACCCTCAAACACCTGGTCCCCCTCTCCCAGCTTGCTTTAGCCTCTCCCTGGCCGGTCCTCCCGCCCGGGGGACTCCCCATTTGACGGCAATCGAAAACTAATATTGCGGTTGTGGTTGCAAGCCCTCCTACTGTACAAAAAATTGTGACACCTCTCTTGCTGTTTGCTCCTCGAGGAGGACGGTGCAACCTGCAGCCGCCCTTTTTCATCAATGCTTTGCGCGGAATTCCACCAAAGCGAACCGGAGACAGAAACATATGGTACAGACTTAAGCATACGACTCACAACCAAGGTAACTTCTCTACAACAAAACAACAATCAGTTCCTATTCTAGTTCCAACTTATAACAGGGGATCAGGCGATACAATACCTCATTCCGTTTCTCCCGAAACAAATTATACACGTACAAACAAGATCAACAGGAGAGGTACCAATACACATTACATACATTGTTTTTTCGATTTTCGTAAGATCCACGTTCGTGTCCGATTGCTGTTGTTGCGCGTTGATGCCACATCAAAATCCGAAAAAACGGGGCCACGCCAGCCCCGCTGCGGGCGTCGACAGCTGAAGGGAACTTGTAGCAAAAACGCGCATCCATACCCACCCCCCCTCTTTGCTGTACGGAGAGCTGAAGGCGCTCAGAAGTACCCTGCCTGGACTCGGGCTACAGGAACCGCACGATGTTGCGGAAGACGCCTTCGTTCGTCTGTGTCGTGAGCCAGGCTACCACACCGTCGGACCCTGCTTCGAACCCAGCAGCCTTACCGACAGAGCCCGTGCGACGGGCGGTGCTGCTCCAGGCCTGTGCGCCCCTCCCGGAGCCAACGCCTCCGCCGCCCGTCGTGGTCTCGACCCTCTTTTCCTCCCGCTTAGCGCGGCAGTTCCGGCCTTCCCTGAGCTCGCCGACAGACTCAGCGGTAGTGTTGGAGACATCCGCTGCCGGGCCCAGTCTCTGGGTGAGCGCGGCACATGACCAGGAGGCCCCGGCGACGCCAGGTTCTGTCCTGGTCGGCGAACTTCAGCAACTTGGTCAGACGTAGGATTGCCGGACCGTTTTCTTCGGGAGCTTCGTCGATTCTAGGGATTACCGCGGAAGTTGTCGCGCCGTTCCAGTCGACGGCAGTCTCGTCAGCGCCCCATCTCAACAGCAGGTCCGCGGCGTCAGGGTTTACCACGTGGCACGCGGTGTGCAAGGCGGTCATCCCGTTGTGCGGGCATTTCGCATGGAGGTCTGCTCCCAACTTCAAGAGGGCAAGCATGGCTGCGAAATAGCTGATGGAGAAGGTCGACACGCAGAGGGGTGGTCTCCCCGCGATACAAGTCTTCGATGTCGGCTCCAGCCCTGGCGAGCGCAACGATGGCGTCCGGGTTGTTAAACCCCACGGCTACGTGAATTGGAGTTAAGCCGCCATTGCTTAAACTTCCGCCATTTCTTAAACTTACAGAGGCACCCCCAGCCAAGAGAAACGTTTACGGTGGAGATGTGACCGGCGTCCAGTGCATGACATAACGGGGTATTCCCTGCGGAACAGCGGCGATCCACCTTCGCCCCCTTGTGCAGCAAACTACGTAGTACCCCGTCTTCCCCACGGCGGGCAGCGAGGTGAATGGGAAAGTTGCCATTGCGGAGTTGCTTGTCGGCATCGGCTCCGCCGAGCAAAAGCACCTGAGCAAGCTCCGCGTGACCGTGTTGGAGGGCGAGGTGAAGGGGAGCAACGCCATCGGCATCGAGTCTGTTCACGTCCGCCCCAGCCAGCATGAGCACCTTCGTAGCAGCCAACTTCCCGCCACTAACCGCAAGGTGGAGCGGCGTAAGACCGGAAAGAGGTGCTTGATCGTTGATGTATTTCCCGGCGCCTGCCCTCGTCAACATTGATATTACTTGCTCGCTTCCGCCTTCGGCACCCGCGTGCATCAGAGTACGACCATCGCAGCCCCTCCACCCGGCGCTCGCGTTCGCCCCAACCTTCAGCAGTTTCTCTACCAGGGCAGCGTTTCCTGTACCTGCCGCGTGCTCGAGAGGAACCCGCAGCCACTTGGTCCACTGTCGAGGCGTCGCCAGGTCGCACACCAAATCGAGGATCATGTCTCCGGTGCCGTGAAGGGTGCTCTTGCGGTCTTGGTGTGTCGACATCCTGAATTCAGTTAAGACTCCGTACCCCCGCACGCCCTGTTGTCTGCCACGCGTTAAACCTTGCTCTGTGTAGATGGTATACCGTGAGAGGGAGGGGGGGGGGGGGGGGGGGGGGGGGGCAAAATTCTTTCGGCCCCTTTTAAAACAGCCCCCGGGAAACCAAAAACCAAAAAGGGGGAAAGGGGGCCTCTCCCATTTTTTTAAAACCCCCACCCCCCCGAACCTTTTTTTTTTTCCTTTGGGGGGAAAACCCATTTTTTTTTAATGGGGACCTTTCCAAA